TGGTGGCGGTGAAATACACGAAGCTCAAATTCTGATCCACATCCTTACACTGCTCACACACAGGGCATTCATCTTATAAGGTAAGATAATAAAACCATCTTTTAAGAGGATTTCAGTGAAATTGTTTTAATTATATCTCATATAGTTCCAAAGTTATGATAAATATAGTATTTTAGAGCAAAATTTAAAGGGACACTAAGAACGTATTACCCCAAGCTCGGACTTTAGATCTCCGCGGCAAAGGGTTAATACAAACTCTCTACAAATCAACCGATTTCTGCAATAACCATTAGACTTATATTTAAATATAGGTCATAAGTCTAAAAGGTAGCCTGAAGATTCATGTGGTGGTGATGAAATCTCTTATGGTACCATTTACCATTTTAGTAAGTTTACCATTATTAATATATATTGAGCTTTTATGAAGGAGTTGGGGGGTTTTAGTACCGACTCCACAGCCCTGGTAAGCAATCCTGTTTTGTACTTGAGAAGTCATGGGTTTCAACTTGACAAGAGACTAACAAACCTGGCTACCTCTTTTGCGGTTTCTTTCTATCTCTCCTCAAGCAACCGCTGGTAAATTACATTGAACGAGACCACACCTGATAACTTTCACATCTTTCCTAACTTACAATTCATAATCATCCACTCATTCTATGATATATATGACCTAGTAATTGATAATATGTAAACAAACAAAATTATTAAAATAGGTCAGAAAATCTGAAGGAAGGAAACCAGTTTGAAGAATTTGACATGGATTTAAGGATAATATTAAACATGGTGAGAGGGTGTAGACTGGATGCACCTGGTTCAGTACAAGACCAGTAGGTAAACACAATAAAGCTCCCCCAGGTTCCATTACAAGTCAGGAAAATTAAGTAACTGAGTGAATATTCGCTTCTTAAGGACCATGAGTTAGGAGTCAGTTATACTTAATGCATTAAACCAATGACACTTTGATGGCTGAAGGGGTCTGCTGTTTTAAGCTGGCTTGTAAACACTGCCACATGAAAGGCACAACAGTTCACTTATTGGCCTAATGGCTGTTGATTTATCTGTTTCAAGTGCTGAAGCAACAACTGGGAGGAGACATCTGATGACAGAGTGGAATCAGCAGTAGAAATATGGTTGAGAACAGAGCACCAACTTCTATAGACAGCAGATAAAAAAACTCGTCCTATTGTAAGTTAGTGTCTCAAACTCCACTGGAGTGTGTAAAATAATAATTTGTAAATTTTCTGTGATTTAAGATCCATAACAAAGATAGTGAGTCACTTTAATTTATAAATGTTATCAATTTTATTTCTGACTGACTCACAGCTCATTTGTATGGAAGTTCAGGGCACTGTGAGCTAGCAATATCATACCTCTGTGCAGTTCTTCCCTCTGAAAGCTGCTGGGCACTCACAGATGTAATCTCCAGAAGAAATGTCACATTTTTCATAGCACATACCACCATGTTTGCAAGGTTTCTCCTGTAAATGAAGTTTAATTGCAAGTAATTAAAAACAAATCTAATTGTAAGTATTCAGAAACAAGTCTTGCATTGCTGACTGAGGATGGTCAAAACACACAGTTTTTAATAGAATAGACATGTAGTTAATGCAATTTGGTGCAGAAACCTGGAAAGCAAGCACTTTGAGAGCTCAGAAGATGGAAGAATATGATTAAAATGGATTTTTCAGATGTAGTCTGTGGGGCTGTTTACTTGGATTCACATGGCTCAGAATCATGTCCAGCATCTGGGTCATGAGTATTAGTGACACTGCACCTCCAGATTCTATTACTACAGTGCCACTGAATGATTTAGTTAAATCATGAGTTACTGGGACAGTCAGTCAGTCTATTAGTATGCTAGTTATTGTGTCAGTCACTGGGTTAGTTGCAGGTTGGCAGCTTGCACAAAAGACAAGCAGTAACTGCATATACTCACGTAGCATGTGTCATCATCATCACACTTGAAACCACACTTTCCTTCTGGGCACTGACACCTGAAGTTGCCTGGGATGTTGAGACAAGTACCCATCCCACACAAAAAGAGATCTCTGCTACATTCATCAATGTCTTCTGTACAGTTCATTCCTTCATATCCTGTAAATAAAGAAGAGGTGATTGGTAGGGCATTTTAGTTGGGATATTTGGAAGAGAAAACCTGGAAGACCTATGCAAAGATAAAATGATAATATTAAAATGGATCTTATAGTAATATGGCTAGTGTGTGAACTGGTTCATCTTGGCTCAAGACCAGGTCCAGTGGTGGGTTCTTGTGAACATAGTAATGAAACTTTGAGCTCCATAAAAGGCAGAGAACTTCCTGACGAGCTAAATGACTTGTCATTTCCTCAAGGACTCAGCTTGATCATGAATGGTGACTAAGAAACTATTTCAAAGGAGAATGCATCTGAGCACTTAGCATTTCTCCCTCATGTTCATAAACTTCTGGGTTCAAATCTCTGTCCAGAGACTCAATATTCTGACTGAAGGTATCATAGTGTTATTCAGTCTTTCTGCATTAAGAATAGTACCTTAAACACATTTTTTTGAACAGCAATTGTAGTATTCACTACTGTTAAATCTGTGCATTATTACAGTTAACAAGACCTTACCATGTCAGCTTATAAAAACATGTCCACTGTCATAATATACATACCGGTGCCCAAACAGTCGCATATATAGTTATTGATGCCATCTGTACAGCTACCTCCATTCTGACATGGGGAAATCTTTTCTGGCCCCACTGCACATTCATTCATGTCTTCCTCACAGTACTTCCCCCCATAACCTGGGTGACAGCGACATACAGGAGCCTGTAAATATGATGTCATTACCATTAGGAACTGTCATTCTCCTCTTGCTTCTGAACATATTGTTTTACTATCCTTCATGAAGGACTTACTGAGCAATGACAATGTTATTTTTCCATCTCCTTACCAGTTTTCCATGTAACTGCTATCCAGTTAGTTTCCCCATAAGAATTCTGTAAGCATTTGTCTTCCAATCTAAGATACACACATTGGCCATCATAACTTACTTAATTTCATTATCCTAACAAAACTAGGTGACCTTAATAAATCACACAGTTCCTCATGTAAAATTCTAAATTGCTAACTGGCTTTTCCATCACAGATACAAATTCTTCTGACAGGATGTATTATTTTCACATTTGTCTTAAGGAATATCCAAAGATAGCAGCATGTGGAAGATAGCCGAGAGAGAGAGAGAGAGAGAGAGAGAGAGAGAGAGCGTAAGTAATAGTGCATACTAGTGAAGTAGACTTAGACAAGTCTCTCTCTCTCTCTCACACACACACAGGCACAATCTATTCAGTTCACTGTTGAAGAATCTTTGAAATAGTATAGCAAATCTTTGGTAATGACAGGCGTTCGGTATGGTTAGCAAAAATATGGTTTGTAAGAGAAAAGCCATCAAGTCACTGACCAACTTGACCCAACCAAACCCAACATAATGTTAGCAGACCCATTTCCCCTCAACATTGTGCCTGGTTATTTGAGAATGCATGTGACTAACCTAACCTTACCCAACCTAAACCAAGTTAATGACAACAGAAAACCCTTTATGGGAAACTAAGGGAGGAGAACTATGACCAGTGTTAACACTCATAAACCCTATCAATTTCTTTGTTCCTTCACGAAACAAACAATACATTTTGTAATTCTGACTGAACAGGATGACTTAGTACATCATAAACTGCACATTTCACTTACCTGTCCTGTCAAGTCACAAGTGCCTTCATGTTGACATGGCTGCTCCAGGCAGTACGGCTTATTGCAGTTTGGCCCTTCAAAGCCTTCCATACAGATACAAGTGAAGTTGTCTCCTGTCTTGGGGTCTGATGGAAAGAATAAATTTCAGTCCAACACACTGATTTCATTCCTTACACAGCAATGCATGTCCAACAGATTAAATTACTCTTCTGTAATCTTTGGACATCTGATATTTAAATTTGCATAAGTTCTCTGCAGAACAAAAGAACCAATTCTTCTCATGCTAAACTTCTTACAGTGGCTGTTTAATGTTTGCTCTCAGACAAATCTACATATTTAGATTCAATATAACTGCCCTTCTCCTGGTTCTGAAAGCATTATTTTTACCCACCCACTGTTGGCATGTTGGGCCTCTCAAAACTCCATCAGTGCATACAGCAGGGCTAGCAGAAAATGTGAATTAATTGTCACACAACTTAATCTATTTATGCACAATATTTCTGTTACCATAGACTACCAATACCTTAATACTGTCAAATATAAACTCAAGTTCTCCACCTTCAACACATCTGTAATTCTTCATGTATACAAAATGTTTAAGGGCATATGTTTATAAACTGTCTCAATACTTAATTTCACAGAAGAGTTGCAATGGTGGACGATGAGAAGACACAGCCTTTCTCTGTCTACAGTAGTTGTCACTGGCCAAAGTTCACAGTGTTAATAAATATCTGTGTTTCAGGTTTAGTTTAAAAATGAAAACTACCCTCTATGTTTGTCAGTGAACCATTATAAGAGGTACTGAAAAGAGGAACATAACTTTATGTAATGCAGTGGTTCAGCATGGGGAACAAGAACAAGGGGGTGGAAAAAAAAAGGGTAAAACAAACAAATTATTAAACACACTTACTCTTCACATCAGTGCATGTGGACCCATTCAGGCATGGTGTATTGTCACACGTGATAAGTCTGAAATTCTCACAGTACAGACCCATGTAGTCATATGTACACTTACAATCAAACTTGCCTAAGCCATTGATACACATCCCATCATGTTGACATGGATTGGATGTACACTCATCAATATCAACATCACATCTGTTCCAAATAAAAACACTTCAGTTAAATTAATTTCTCTGTAATTCTAATTTTGTGTGTGAATGGAGGAAATCTACATGTCTTACTACAATTACTGAATTTTATATTGTTTCATAATAGTGCAATGGAGCAGAGTCCTTGAGAAAGTCACTCAATGGTCAAGAAATTTCTTGTAAGTGTGGAGCCAAACACTGTCAGATGTACAGCCTGAAGAATACTACAGCATTTCTCTTTGGGAGGTTAAGGATTAGTTTTGTGTTGTTCAGTAGGATATTTCAGTGCTTACTGTCAATTTATCTTTAATAGTCTTCTGCAGTTTGTTCTTGAATATTTTTATAAATGCTCAGTTTTGATAAGTGCTAGGGAAAACTTATATCTTTCAGTTACGTAATTAATTTCTCATGCTTAGTCATTGTCTTGGAACACCACACCATTATGGTATTCATTGGAATGCTGCTTCTTTCTAGAAGCTGGGTAATAGTTTCACGGTCTGTTGGATTTCTACTGCTCTCACATTCAGTAGATTAAGTGCATTTACTGCATAAAAGACCAACTTAAAATCTCAGCATCTGTACACAACATTTGTAAAAAGGGTAAAAGTGAATGACACCAACAACATAACATTACATATTGAAACATGTGTCATTTGATTTGAATACATAGTTTATAATGTGTAATGGTATTTGTGTGAAGTTATACCTTAACACAGTTTTGGTGTGAGTGGACAAATTGTAAAATATCTCATAACATAAAAAAGGTAGAGAGATGAATCTAATATCAGAAGCTCATACCCTGAAAAAAGATTTCATGATATGAATCTTTTCTGAAAACTGCAACTGTCACATTTCTATCACTTATCTCTTCTGAGTTCCTCAACAGAAAAAGATAAACAAATATACTCACAGCCATCCCTCCCAACCCTGATGACAGCTACAGGTGTAATTAGCAATTCCATCGATACAGGTGGCATTATTCTGGCACTGGTTCTGCTCGCACTCATTAATGTTTGTAGCACAGTCATAGCTTTCAAAGCCTGCACTACAGTTGCAAGCATATGATTCTGCAGGGGCTCCACAATGTCCCCCATTTAAGCACTCGTTCTCGAAACATAACCGACATCCCCCATCTATATCATGTGCCCTCTCCCGTGGTGCAGACAGTTCAAAAGAGTTCTGTGCAGTGGAGTTGTCAGAATACAGTTGGTCAGGAGTGAAGTATGGAAGTAAGAGACCTCCAATCCGGACTTCACCTAAGCATCCCTGCATACATAAATGCAATTCACCACATTACACATTCTGCCACAATGTTATGAACAAGGAACAAAGATTATATATTAATGAATAAAAGCCATTCTCACAGGTAACAAAGAAATAAATGGATTAATAGAAAAAATACCCAGAAACTTAAACACAAAAAACAAAAGAATGTAACCCTCAAGAGACTGACTAGAAGATGACAAATCAAGTTTATTTTTCCAAACACAAATAGATATAACTTCCTACTGAACATATCATCTGTAAATAGTATTATTCAAAGAGACACTTCTCAATGTAAATAGTTAGAATGACTTTCACATGATATTTTGGTCTGTCTGTACAGTCCAAATATGTATTAAGTACCTTGAAGAATGCACCTTCAAGAGCAAATGGAATAACTGGGGTTGTAGTGGTTGTCATGGCTAAACCTGGGTAGTCCACTCTATTCTCATTTGTTCCTGAGCCCGTTATATCAGAGCCAGATCTATCAAACGTCACATAACTGTGTCTATTTGACACAGACACTCCATCACCAAAACCTGAAAGGAGATATTACTGCATTACAGTATACATATGTTTGTTCAGTTAATGGGTTTCAAGTATCAACTGTTGTGGCTATTTGTTAATGAAAACAAAACCAAACCTAAAGCTTAACAAGAAGTTCAGGTAAAATCTTAGGAACTTGTTTTCTTTAACACGCTTTAAACTATAATGTGGGGATAATATGAGCTATAATTAATTATACCATTTTGTGTTTGTTTCCGTGTATGATTTCCACTAACACAAATTCCCACTATGTTCAATTTGTCAGACATGACTTCACATCACAGTGTTTCAAAATGTTAGCATATAAGAAATGTTTCTTTCACAGTCTGCAGGCATGTTTATGTTCTGTTTCTGCATAGTATTTCACATGCCTGGTTAAACTGGTTCATCAAGTACCATTATCAAATTGAACCTAAATACAGACTTCCTGTAGCCATTTTATTATTTTTTTACTAAGTATGAAATTAAGAGGATATGACAAACAGTTGGATACAAGGAAATATACGAAGCTTCAAAAACTCTGGCTGGAAAACTTACATGGCATAGACCAACTGAGGGTTAAAAAGAATCTTAGAGAAATAAACAATTAAAATATGAACTGGATTGATCTGAATCATAAAAGAATTTCTGTGAACACGATGCAATTTTTCTGCCAATTTCCTGTTACTTTTCCTCGCTAATAAACCAAGCAATATGATGACACAACTTCTTCTGGAACAGTCACATTTTCATCTGTTCTGTGCTTAGATACAGATTTTCTGCTGCATGTAGTTTGATATGTGTTTAGAAACAGAACTACCACAATTTGTTACAATACTTTGCATTTATCTTGAGCACTTAAACCTCTCATGTATTCAGACTTGCAAAAGTAGCACACAAAATTACTCAAACGCAGTGTGTGTATGTGTGAGCACGCGCGCATGTGCGTCATTTCAAATACAAATGTGTGAAAGTTTAGTGTGGTGATCCTAGTCTTGCTGTGTAACAGTAACAATTTTCTTATCTGATACAACATAATTTTTTCCCAAAGAAACTAACCCTTTAGACATTTCTAACATGATACTTGTGCAACATTTGCATCTTTGTGAGGTTTGTGGTTAAGCTATACTCAAAAGGAACAAGGAGTATTATGCTGGTATTAGTTTACACTACTTTCGTTATAGTTGAAGAGTACAAAAAATGTAACACTATCAGATTTCTATTGTCCTGGCAATCATAGGGTAAACAGTATTTTTTCAGTGAACAGCAAAATTATATCTACTTCTATCAACATCACAACTCATTGTTTTGCTTTCCCATCACTTCTTTTACCTTTCATACCCTCTCACACAGGTAACAGGCTACCATCAAATGAAATGTGATTCCACAACTCACCAATGTTGTCTTGTACATTTGTCCTTCCTCCCAACATAATCTTGCCATTTGTAACAAGCTGTTGCCATGCTTCAAGAGGAAAAATAGCAGAAGAAAAACTTTGTGCACTGTCCTCGCTAGCAAAACTGAATTTCCCCATGATGCCATTGTTGTCCATTCTGATAAGTACTGTTGTCCACTGGCCATCTGGATCATCTTTATGGAATCTGTAGACTTGGCCATGTGGCATCTCATCAAAATTCCATGCCACAGTTACCTGATCATGGTACACAGACAATGAGAAGAATTCTGTACCAGAATGAATGTACAGCATGGTACCACCTGAAACAAATTAATGTTTGTTAAAATGAATTGCCTAAAAGCCAGAAATTCACTGGCTGCCTATTTTCAACCAATCAATAAACCACCAGTGATTCTGTGGTCTCATTTTTATAATGCAGTTCAGTTACATGCAGTGGATCATTGCAAATAGGCCTATGCATTGAAAACTGAAACTTTCTCCTCTCTAGTGCTGTCTGGTAGAATTATTCTGCTCAGTTACTGTGAAAATTATAAAAGTCAGAAATAAGAGCTGTTTGTGAATTTACTCAAATAAATCAAGATGGCTGGGACTTATTTAAGTCAATTAATGTGAAAAAACTTACTTTTGACACAGTTTTTATATTAATTTAACAAAATACTTCTACTGGCAATGATAAGGTGCTTCATGGTATTCCGCGTCTTATAAAGGCAATTCTAAGTCAGTATCTTTAACAGCCACCCTCTAAGCCTTCTCACTTGACACAATATAAAGGTAAAGCCATCCTGTTACATGCCATGTAGGTGCACAGGGGAGAGGCAGTATAGCTACTTCTCAACCTTGGCACTAGATGGGGGGTGAGTGGTCAGCATCACCCCCACTTAACACAATTTACCATATGCAACTGAAACCACATCATTAAACAGTCTACCTACCACACAAACTCATTCACAGAATACACAAGAATGCTAAAACACTGATCTATTTTTTTGACAAATTCCATAGAAAAAAATTAGATTGAGTTTTAATACCTTGTGCTCTTTAAATTAACTGTATCCTGATGCCATCACTGTGCTTTATACAATTTGTTTTAATATGGAAAGTGTAGCAGGGGACTTCAACTTTGCAATGTTTTGCTGTGTCACACACTGTACATGGTTACAGATAAACAAGTATATATCTATAAATTATCCAGGGGAAAAAATACCACACTAATGTCAATATTCTGATCAGGTAAATATTACTTAACACAGAGCTGACACACATTTTTCTTCACTAACAGTCAGTGAGTCAAACTGCCACGAGCTGTTTTACCTGTTCGACTACGGTATGTTATGCTCATGGTGTCCAGCTGTTCACTATTGAAGCTGCTCACTGCACGAAGGGAGTAGTTAAGTGACATGTTATGGCCATCAAAAGTGGCATTGGCAATACACTCATAGCCATTGTCCAGATTCTGGCAAGTGCTGCCTGCTGGACAGTTCTGCAACTGACAGAACTCCATCTCCTGGCACATCTTGCCCTTGTAGCCATGTGGACACACACATCTGCAACACCACAGCACAAACTGAGTGGCTCAGTCACCTGACCTCCACATGTACTGCATACATCCCACCAAAGAGATTTATCACTCTCACTTGGTTTCATGATCTTCCTCAGTCTGTTGAGGCAAATCTGGTATATTATCCAAATGAGAATATAACCACTTCTTTCCAAACTATCCCAGGTTCAAAAGGTGACTTGAGGTTGGTTATCTTTACTGAAAATTTCTTTGGTTTTCCTCAGTTCTTCCAGGCAAATTGTGGGATAATACCTTAAAATAGGCCATGACCTATATATTCTTTCCAATTCAGCATTTTAAATCATCCTAGCAACTCTATAAAACCTAAGCAGTAGAATATGCATCATTAAACAACCCAAAAATCAATATTCTTTCACATTCCTCTGATCTCCACACTCATAATTAGGGTTAGACATCAATTTATTATAAGTTATCATACAATTTATACAAATGATGCAGTAATGACTTTCCATGCAAGTAGACAAAATAACAATACAACTGCTGAATTATGTTTACTTGATGCACTGATTATAAAGAATGCATAAAATTAACCAGGCTCAACTAAATTTTCATCATAAATTCTTCAAGCACTCAGTGAAGAAGCTGAGAATAATTCTGCACCTGAAATCATTCCATGTCACAAAGCAGGTGCCACTGTGCTCGCATGGGTTGTTTCTGCACGAGTTGTCAGATACCACTCCCTCCAAAACTGTCGATTTATCAAAGGTTACAGTACCAAAATGAGGTGGAATGTCTAGATCCTCTGCTTTCAATGGGAAGAATTCTACCACCATGATGCGGTTCCCATTGCTAATCTGTAATAAATGACAAAACTATTTCAGTGGTTGTTTTCTTATACCTGACATCCAACAGACAGACAGAACACATTCTGTATGTTACCTGCACATCTTGTATGATGCCCTTGAAGTTCACTGGGATTTTTGTGATTTCAGATCGATTTGGAATTGCTTCAACTTGGCGAATGGTGCGCCCCATTTGAGGCATGCCTCCAAGATATAGCACATTAACATCAAGTGAGCCTGTTGCAGAGATAGTCTTACGGAAGTACTCTGTTCCATTTATCTTCACCTGGACCAGTGTCACGTTACGCACAACCTTGTGGAAACATTACGAGAATAACAACACATGAAGCTTATGAAAATCATAACTCCATCCTCAGAAGCATGACCAAACATGTCACATTTGAAGTAGCTAATTAAGTTAGTTAATTACAACCACACTGATTACAAAAATACATACTTAATATCAGTTACTATGTTCTCCAATTCCTGTCTTTCCCATTTACTCTTACACATTTTGAATGTGGTCTTGCTAAATGGAATATTTTCCAGCACATATCATATTTTGTTAAGAATTGTTTCACAATAAAAATCAGCCATTTTAATACACAGGATGAAGTATGTAAACATAACATTTACATATAAAAAATATTAATATAGGTCACGCGAGTAGTGGTGGCACTTAATGTGCAATGTGTAAGCCAAGAGAGGGGAGTTCAGTAGTAGTGGAGGTTGCACAGCCTCAGCTGTGGTGATGCACCGATCTAAACACAGCTAGAGCTACAAATCAACTGAAGCTGACACACCCCTCTAGCGCAAGCTTCAGATGGGGCCATCTCATACGACCAAAAGTGCAGCACTTCTCGTGTGACCTATACCACATTTTTTTCACACATATTACACTTATGTACCAAATTGCAGGCAGAGGAACAGGATGCTTTTAAAGACTTATAAAACTATGAAAAAGTTCAGTTTTGTAATACCTGTAAAAATTAATGCTATGAAGGGAAGGTTATTACTGCCATAAACAGCAGCACTATTATATCCTCATCACACCATTACTACTACTGTTATTACTGTTGGTGTGAATGTGAAGTTGTACATGTTCCCGAGTACCATTCAATGAAAACAAGTTCAACACATCCTAAATTCCTGTTCTAGAGCTTCATGCTTCCACTACATTGCCCCCAGGAAATGAGCCTTGGTACCTACTGGAAGAAAGACTGTGGATCTCACATGGTGGCAAAAACAAAAATTTCACCATTTCTTGAAACTGAACCCTGGTCATTCATCCCATAAGCAGTCACTTTATGGAACTGTGCCTCAAAACATGTAATTCAATAGACTTTCATTTGTGTAGTTCAGAAGGGCCACCACAACAAATTTTCATAAACAACTGATTCAGCAATTATTATAGAATGGGAAATTTCTTAACTTATTTGAATTACAGAAAAGTACCTGTATGAGATGGTTGTTCCCATCAGCCAGTTTCTGGCCTCCAACAGTGTATTTCTCCAGTGTGCCACTGAACTGTATTTTAATCAGCAGTTCTCCAGCATCCAGCTGCGCAAGGATAAAGGTCTCCTCACCAGAGCTGATAAGTGATGATGAACCCAAATAAAAGATTGTACCTTCCTCCTGACGAGTCCGAATGAACATGGAAATGTCCACAACACTGCGAATTGCCCTACGGGCTGGATCATTCATCATCACAGTTACAAGGCTATCAGTAATATTCTCATAACCAAATGTGGCTGCTGTCAGGTCTGAAACATTACAGCAGAGTCAGAACATTCTCTGTTTATCTGTGTTCTGTTACAAATAATTAAACAAACTAATTCTAATCCTCACACCTACTCATTCTATAGTTTCAAGTAATAAATAAAATTTTAAAAACAAACAAAACTTAATTTCTTGACTGTGGTAATTGAGTGGACTCAGTTTCAAGCAAGTAAACCAGATTGTATCATTTGACTAGTTTTTCTCAACTTATATGTAAATATCAGTCATCCTTCTGGAAAACTCTAAATTATGTTATTTCACATTTTGGTCGCATACATTGTATTACAGAAATATCATTCATACCTCCCATATGTAATTATGAATAAATTATTTTCAAAATCCTGTGAGGAAGTGGCTTGAGATGTCAGTGTTAGTGGCAATGACAGTAACAGTGAATCTGAACAAACAAGTATAAGTAATTCCTCAAGAAAGCAAGCATAAAAAAATACTAAAATTCAGCACTGGAGAAGCCACAGCACTGAGAATACTTCAACAAAAATGTATGGAGTAGAAGAGAAATGGAGAAAAATGTCAAATAAAGATCTGCACATTTTTATTCCTCTCCAAGTATGAATGTATAAAACGACAACCAAAAGTTTGTAACTGCAGACAGAACACTCACTGTACTGGCAGGTGTGCCCAAGATATGGACGTTCACATGCGCAACTGAAGTTCCTCCAGAGGTCTGTGCACATGCCACCATTATGACATGGATTCGGATTGCACTGGTCTTCACGTGGACACCCCACCTCCACACCCATCAGTGTAACAGGCACAGACAGCTCCTCCTTCGTGCGTACATTTGGCAGAACCCATTCACCATTGATAATAACATCCTCAGTGCAACCTATGAATGAGGATGGACCGTGTATCAAGCCACTCAAGTAGGGCATGGTGCTCCCCAGGTATGTTGTCGGGAAACTTGTAAAGGATGTGTTGGCCTCACTCAGGTTGATTGGATAGATGGTCTGTTCCTCATTCGCAGCCAGGACCAGGTGTGAAGTGTTAATTGCAACAAAAACCTGCAACATGGTTCACAGTTGACATAATAACAATCTCCCATTGCCTATTCTCCCACTCTACAAATATGAATTCTTTATCTGAATCATGGTTGTAAAAGTACAGTCCAAAGAATCATATATATCATGTAGTCCAGGAGTGTTACTGTTACATGTGCAACAGGAGAGACATAAGAAATCTTGTAACCCAACCATTTACATAGTAAACAGACAGTAAGAGGGTGATCAGACAGACCTACCTTCTGCCAGTTGCTGTCACTGAGTTTTGAGCCAATGAATACACCTTCCCATTTATTGAGCAAGCTTGAATGAAGATTGAGCTTGCCATTAACCAGTTCAAGAATATAGTATGTTGAGCCCTTTCCTATAGCAAGCAATCCATTGGAGAGGGTAGTCTTGAATCGAAACTGAATGTCATATCCCTCTTCACGAGTTGTGTTGACCAAAATGAAGGATGAGCCATTTAGAGACATTGTAGTAACCTGCAAAACCAACATTCAGGTCAGTCTCACAAGAAACAATAAACTTTAATTGTAATACGTTGTCGACTTGCAAATCAGGGCCTCTAAAACTAAGCAGGAATTACAATGCACAAAACTACTATTAACAACTCAGTGTCAATAAGTCATAAATAGTTAGTAGGTTTGTGTATAAAATGCTTCAATCTCTCCAAGTGTCTCTGTTCCTGTGTCTCTGGTCTGGTTACAGTAACCATCTCTTTATAGTGCATAAAATGATCTACGTACACCGCACTTTTGTTGTATGACAATTGCTTAACACAGAAAGTAACCTCTGTGCAACACCATGGTGGTAAATAATAGAAGATATGTGCAATGTTATTTTAATTATTACAGTTTGTACTATTCTGATCTCTATGTTCAAATTTTATATGCATTTTTATCTCCCCCATTTGTGCTGACACCGGATTTAAGTTGCCTTTCAGCCATTAATTCACAAGCAGACCAGTATCATGTGGCAAGTTCTGTATCGTTTAGCGAGTCATCTCCCATCTCATCCTCCTCCATTTAATCATTCTAATAATAAGAGATCAGGATTAAAAATTAGGAAGCTTCTCATTATGCAATCTGTTTCACTCTGTTAATTACAATTTAAAAAAAGTCATGGAATAGGACATGTTGAAACTACAAGTTAAAAAAGAGGCAGACATTAAAGTTTCTGGTGAATAATTTTCTTTCAACTTAAGTATATAATAAGAAATTGGATCTATCATAACCTATTAACATACCTGAGTACAGTTTTGTCCATGGAAACCATTTGGGCAAGTACAGTTATACTTCTGATTGGTCTCATTCTCTAGATAGGGTTTACAGGTACCATTGTTCAAGCAGGGCCCATCCAAGCAACCTGTTAGCTCTACAGAGCAGTTCTTACCGCCATATTTGGGTTCACAATCACAGAAATAGTTTGCTATTCTGTCTGAGCATGTACCATGAACACATGGTGTGTACTGTTCACACTCATCAATCTCAGTTTCACACTGCACCCCTTCGAATCCATCCTCACATTCACATTCATAGCCTCCTATCACGTCTTTGCAGGATCCATGGATGCAAGGATCCGGGTCACATTCATTCACATTGACCTCACAGTTCTCACCAGTGATTCCTGGTACGCAAACACACCTGTACCTGAAACAGAAGGATCAAGGTGGGAAAACTTAAAATATACCTCAGTACTTGCAAACTGCACCCACCACACAAAGTGGTTAAGTGGTCATTCCTGGTTTCTAGTAACAACTGGATACGATGATCCAAACTGGGAAATATGCATTGTTACATGTCCACATGAATGGCAAGCATTAATTAAACTGCATGCTGTGAGTAGTCAATGCACTATCCAGTGCAAAACACTGCAACATTGTCAGGATACAATCAATTTAGGTGGCAAAGTAAGGGTTAAACAAAAGTGCTAAGAATTCATAATACATATAGGAACTTAATGGATAAAAAGGCACAACTTACCCACTGGCAGAGAAGTACTTGAATTTCTCAGGGAAAAAAGCAGTCTGGGATCCAACCTGTTGGTAAAGAGACTGGTTTGAACGCTCCAAACAGGTGCCTCCATACTGACATGGCGAACTCTCACACTCATCGATGTCAATTTCGCAGTTCTTACCTGAATAAAAACAAAAACTTGAATTAAAGGAATTAATCCATTAGCATGCTTTAATGGCTAGAAGGTATCCACCTTTCAGGTGACATTTGTCATTATTTTTGTTGCTAGAAGGCTCATGTAAAGTGGAAATTTCCTAGAAAGAAGCACAAGAAGTATAAGAGGAAGAAGAACCAGTAGAAGTAGACATACTTGTCTGCTACACACCTGTATAACCTTCAAAACAACTGCAGTTATAATCCTTAATACCATCATGGCACTCAGCTCCATTGGTACATGGGGCAGCTTGACAGTCATCAATGTTATTCCCACAAAAATCACCTTCATAACCTGTGTCTGTACAGTTACACATGAAGCTGTTGATTAAATCCACACATTGTCCACCGTTGAGGCATGGTGAGGACTGAAAATATGATCATTAAAGACAAGTGAAAACTCAAAATCTGGTCTGGTACTTAAATCCATAACCTTCTGCTGAAATGTCATATTTCTAGTCAATATCATAAGAGGATGTAGCAGAAAAAATCTTTAGAAAGACTTATGAAACCTGTTTTCCTTTAACCCTCTCCTAGCCCAAACAGTTTGAAAACAACTCCTATTTAAATTGTCATTCCCTGCCTCAGAGCTTGAAAGCATTAATGTTTTCTTATTAATTAACTTTGGATTATTCAATTTATTGTACAACATAGGGATAATGTACCTTTCATATCTTGGCTGCAATTTCAAAGATATTTGTCATAACACAAAATAATATAAAATAACTAAACTTGTAAAAAAAAGTATGGTAAACTATATGATGATACAGTCTGAACAGCTGTGTACATGTATTAAAAACACCCATCTGTGTAATGTACTTAGCAGGAATAATACATCAATAATTACAGAAATTATTTGGTATATTTGCTGCATAATATTCTTTAGTATGAAAGCCTGTATTTGAAACATTCCACACATAACCTCAAAATGTTGTTCTATTACTATAATTGTAATTTTTAACATAAAAGACAAGTTTTTACACAATTTGTAGATACACTTATGACATTACATTCTTAACTCAACAATTCTTTAGTTATTGCAATCAAACACAAAACTACACATTGGTATAAATTTTGTGGCTGCCTTACAATAATTCATATTATACAAAAAAGTAGTTTTAATGTAGTCTTAAAATTGTGTAGTAAAGGATCTTTAAACAAAATTCAACTTATCTGAAGATCTTTAACCATACAAAATTTTAGAACTATATTAAATAACAGCAGTGTCATGTCTGCCTCAAAAATTTAATTACCATTTTGGTATTACCACTGATACAGAAGTAAAAATTATGGAGATGATACTGCCTCAATTATACTTACATTTTTGCCATACAAAAGAAGGAGAGATGACTATCATATGAACAAATTATCCTTTTATTTGGATACATACCTCACAGTCATCAATGTCAATCTCACAGAGAGAACCTGTGAGACCTGGAGGGCAGATGCACCTAAAGGCAGCAATATCATCAATGCAAGTTGCTCCATTCTTGCATGGAACAGATGCACATTCATCAATGTCAGTGCTGCAGTCCTTGCCTGAAGACAAAATACTACATCAGGAAAACAAGGGAGGAAGAAATTAAGTATATGTTATTTAAATGTTCTGAAACTAGTAGCAGAACAGCATTACTATATAATTAATGAGGAAATGGCATATAAAAATAAGTTGTACAAAACAAAATGCCTTAAACATGCTGGAAATTGCATATTCAAAGTCACATGTAAATAGGAAAAGGTTACTAAGAGCTAAAAATCTAAAATGAAAATAAATAAATTAGAATGAAGCAACTATACAAACTAGAATCAGCTGTTTAGTGTTTTAAATGAGTTCAGAAAGGATATAGCTATAAGTTCATATGAGGACTGTACAGGACAATTTAGACTTCAATGGTAAACTAATAAATATCATTCTGACCACAATAGCCAACATGTTTAAAAAACAGATTACTGTTAACACCTGCAGGATTTCTGAATTGCGAGTGAAAGGCAAAAAACGCCAAGATTACTCAAATTAGATCACAATGGCCAGCCAAAGTAAATGACTGTATTATTTACAGTTTGGACTGAGAGAAAAACAAAATGGCAGTGATATATTAGAGATATCTTAAGGCTCTTAATACTCAATTCTGCCCTTAGTAAAAACAATAAATTGATATAGAGGGGAGAGGAGTGAAAGCAGAGAAATAGGAAGAAAAAGAGGGTGGAGAAGAATAATAATAAAAAGGAACAAATGATCGAGAGAGATTAAGATGAAGAAACAAAAGAAAATTAAGGTTGAGGAGACTTGCCTGTGAAACCAGGTGTACAGATACAGTGGTAGCTGTTTATCCTGTTCTTGCATGTGGCATTATTGTGACAAGGCTGTGATAGGCATTCATCAATGTCCAAGTCACAATGGTCACCAGTAAATCCCGGACTGCAGAAACAAAGGTAGCTTCCTATAAGCAGTAAAGTGGACAATACTCTTACACAACACGATTAGTGTACAACCAGCATGTTACTATCAAGTTGGTCTTATGTATGTCTTGACAAATTATGTTTAGGTCTAGGCACCATGTTAAGAAGTCATGGCAGAAATTTAAAGAAATGTTTAATGTACTTTCTATCACATTTTAAGGTTTTGAAGGATTCAACCCCAGATATCATATTTATGATATAACACAGCATCATATAAAAATATGTCTGAAAGAAATATTAAAAGCAATATTCAAAAGTTTACAAAGAAAAAATTAATATGAATACCCTGACGGTCAATTAAGCACTATTCTAAGGAATGGAGGTATAACTCAACACTAGGTAGAGATGATTAGACAACTTCATAGCCCAGTCATTTCATCCTTTGCAAAACAGCCTCCAGTGTGTACACTGGATAAGAGGCTGGGTAGGCCATATAGCTGGTATGGATATGATAGCAAAGGAAAAGTCTCTACCCCTCCTGGGAAGTGAACACCAGTCAACCGGCCCATAACCTAGTTAATATACTGGCTGAGCTACCTTTGAATCCAATATGAATACCATGAAATACCAAACAGCTTTGAGCACTTTTTTTTAGTATTTTCAACATGCAAATTATAATATGGAATATACAAATAGCAAAAAATTATAATCTAGCATTAACACAGTAACTCTTCTGATGTGTAATTTTCATTAGTACAAAATGCCTTGGCTGCATAAATAAATTTGAAAATTTGTTTTTAATTTCATTTTATTTTTTAGAATACTTCTGTCCTTACATTCACATTTAAGATTCAGAATCTGCAAATTACAGCAGATTACATTAATCTACAGCAATCTGTTTATGTCTAAAAGAAGCCACTGATACTACATAACCTGACAATTCTGCCTGCAAGTTCATATAACTTCAAAAACAAAGCTATATCAAACAATATCTTGGGGAAAAACTATATTTAATACAAGCAAATGCTGCCACATATTCTCAAACAATGTCCTACCCTTCCAGGAAAAAGAAAGCTGCATTTCTAAGTGTAGCAAAATGCTTCAATGAACCATACTTCTACCTTGGCAAGATCCTTCTCTGAACAATACCTACCCACACTATTGACACATATACCGCTGTTGCAAAGTTCCGGTGATTTAGAACACTCATCAACATCATGTTCACAGTTACGCCCTGAAATAGTTCAAATAAGTACAGTCATTAACAAAAACATAATTAAACATAGAAATCCGAAAAGTTATGAGATGAACATGTAATGCCCACTCTACTTTCAATTCAATGCTGAGGCTGGTGAGGACTATACATTAATAATTACAGAATTTACTGATCAATTTCTGTGCATAATTATGAGTAGTAAAGATTCAAATTATGTTAGGTTTGTCAGATATTAACTCGAAAATTAGCACCAGACATATTTCTAAATTTGTAAATGTTAACATACAAAGTAACGTTTCATACAAAATTAGTGGGTGTCTATGATCCACTAACATATAAAATTCCACACACCACAATGTGGTTTTACATCCTACAAAATTGAAGACAATAGGATAAAAACCATAAAAATCACTGAGCAAAGCAAGTAATTACAAAGACACTTTTAGGGTAATTTTTCTGAACAAATGACAATCAGAGTAGTCAAATAAAAAAGGTTACGATATAACTTGCATGAGGGATGCCTACTTCCAATATGGAAAAATCCTGGGTTCATTCATTCCAGATACCAGCTATCAGGACAAGTGTTTTGTAACTTTTCTCAGTCCCCGGCAAATTCTGGATTAGTTCCTTAAAAGAGATGATAACTATTTCCCTCTACATCCAGATTCATCATTGTACTTGAGAAAACATTACAGTGTAAGGACAGAAGATAGGAAATGCATACAGAATATTGACAGGGAGACATTTTGGAAAGAAGCTACTTGAAAGACTAAGTAATGAGAGCATAACATCAGGATGTATCTTAGGGAACACGAGAATATGAGATGAATGAAACTGGCTTTGGATCTCCAAATGTAAACCCTGTTATTAGCGGTGTTCAACTTTTATTTGGGGATGGAGTGACTCAGTTAAAGAGAGAACTGACAACCCTAATACATATAATACAAAAATTCTCACCAGTGATGCCAACTGGGCAGACACATGTGTAGTTGCCATAAGTGTCAGTACATGTGGCATTGTTTTGACAAGGGTGCTCCTCACAGAAGTCAATGCTTGTGGTACAGTTATCACCCGTGAAACCCTGTCGACAGCGGCAGTCATAGCCATTCACCCCGTCAACACACACTTTGTTGTTTGGACAACTTGCTTGAATACAGTCATCAATATTCACCTCACAATTAAGGCCTTCAAATCCTATCAGACAAACGGTAATGTAACATCAGTAGAACACCACACAAGTAAACATACATTATAAATTTTCATACGACGCATTACTTGGAAAAAAACCATATCTGACTTGACATAAGAGAGTAAAATTCTACCTGTACATATATCATGCTCATGAAGGAGAAGCAACTCAAAACATAATGAAAGCCAAGTTCTGGCAACTTCTAATGAACAATAAAATCTGTCCAGTCAGTCAGTTATAAGCCAGAGAAAAGATAAAGGCATTACCTGCTCATCTATACTGACTACTTAACAACAATTCCAGAAGTGAGCACAAGATAAAACACAAACAAACAGGAGAAAAAGCAAGCACAATGTGAAGCCATATGAACATAGAAGAAATTGTCATATTGAAACCACACACATGCACAAGTCTTAATGTATCAACTTACATTGACTACTTTTCGACAGCTGTAAAAGTTAAGCTCACAGACAGTAAATATTATGAAATCATAAATGCATAATATGAAAGTCAGTGCAAGGTGAAGAAATAAGCACAGATCATGGTTAATAAATAAGTCAAAAGAACAAAGAACTTTGTCAACTAATCTGCATTACTTAACAAAAGTTATACACATAACAACAACAACAACAAGCCACACAGAAGAAAATCAAGAGCGATATGAAGCTACAAATACAAAGAGGAAGTATTTTAAGCCATACAGAAAATGAAAAGTGAACAACATAACACCACAAATGTGCAGAGGAAGGGCTCTGACAATATGATGGTAGTCTGAACAGTAAGCACAATATGATACTACAGACACAGAAACAGACACACACACACATATATAAAGTATTCATTGTGACCCACCTCCTTAAGAAACCTTACCTGATAGACAGCGGCACTGATAATCACGTTTGTTGTGGCTGCTGATACAAGTGCCATTGTTCTTGCAGGGAACAAGACCGCACACATCATACTCGAGTTCACAATTATCACCCATAAAATCTTCACTGCAGTTGCATTTATAGCCATGCACATGGTCAATGCAGATGCCACCATTCTGACATGGTCCTGATGCACATTCATCAATGTTCACACCACACATGTTACCTGTAGCATGTGACAGACAAGGTTAGGGGATATTTGAGTTATGCGCATGTCTGCTGCTCTGGAAATGAACACAAGAGGCATTACTGGTCATTATTAAGCCCTTAACTTAAAAGCCATAAAACTAAAATATAAAAATTATAATTTTACCTGTTTCTTTGTGTGAGTGTAAAGCACAGTCTGCAGATAACATTTCAAACAAGGAGAAAGACATAAAAATACATAATAAGCAGCTCTTAATGTAATTCTGTTTGAATTTACATTAAGACAAAATCAAAAACAGAAGAGACAAGATGTCACAACTAAGAAAAAGTAGCCGTGTACATCCTGCGTGACTGTGACACTAGCTGAATCGAGATTTGGAGACAGAAATGCACAATATATTGAGAACAAATGCAGGACCGAGGTTATTTCATTATGTCCTCCCAACCCATCATTCAATCATCCTACTTGATTTCATCTGGTAAAGATTACAGATTGTGAAGTGCCACATTATGCAACTCTTGCTATTTGCTTGTTATGTCTTCTCTCATAGGCCCAAATAAATGTGTCAGACGTTATTACTACTTTAACATAGAATTCATACCAGTAGGAACTATACACATAAATAAATCACAGAACAGTCATAATATTAATTTACATACCTTGGCAGACTCATAATACTGACTAACACAATTAAATAAAAATAGGCATCATTTCTTGTAACTTTTTATATTTTATATTTTTGGAATTTGCAAAAGAAAATCATAAGTACTATGCTTGGGAATCAAAACAGTGTAGATCTCTAATTAGTAAATATGATGATATAATACAGAAATGTACAGATTATCAGCATAAAATTACTTCCATGTGCAGGAGACAAGGAATACAATAGAGAGGTTCCACCACTGTGTAAGGACAAGCCAGAAGCTACTCCCTACCTGTAAAACCAGGTGCACACTCGCAATAGAATCCATTGATGGTGTCCACACAGGTGCCACTGTTGCGACAAGGGTTTGAGTGACATTCATTAACATCATTCTCACAGTTTTGCCCAGTCCAGCCAGGATCACACTCACAGTAGTAGCCATCACTCTGTGCAAGTGAGATAAGCATGTGTGACAGTAACACAAAACCTCATTGTGCTTACATTTAAAACCAATTTGTGAACAAGCAGAGTGGGAGTGATAGTGAAAATACTGATAAAAATATAAATAATTTTAGGTCACAGTTATGAAGTAATAACACTTAACACTAATGAACCAATTCCATGCAACAGTTTCTCTTGAGAAACTGATGACCACTAAGATGGTCAAGAAACCCAAAAATTCATTACTGTATTCACAACAGCCTGGCATTACACCCTATCCTGAGAGATCCAAATTCTGTTCACATTCTCACACTCTAGTTCCCTAAAATCCATCTTCATATCAGCCTCTCATCTGTGCTTAGGTCTCTCAGGTTGTCCCTTACCTTTCAGGTTTCCAACCACAATCTGGTATGCAATTCTCATCTCTCCCATGTATACTGTACCATATACACCTCATCCTATTAAACTTGCTTTCCCTAATGAATTGAAAAATGTATTTTATTTGAATCTGAGGCATTATTTTATAAAAGTTTCCATAAAATGGGAAGCTAGTAGTATAATTTCCTAGATACACAAATTCTCCTTGAACTGCTGCAATTTTGGAAAGAACAATGAATGTATTATTAAGTAAAAGTAGCAGTAAAAATAGCAATAATAATCATAATAAAAGCAATGGTGGGAGCAGCAAGAAACTAGCTATACAGTTGTTATTTTTGATCAAGAGACTATGCCTGAATACAGCTAATATAACAACTTGTAGAGACAATGTCGTACTCACGTAATCCTGACATTTTGAGGAATGCTGACAGGGGTTAGTAGAACACTGGATGAGTGTCTCACACAAGCGGCCTGTAAAGTGCGGAGGACATTCACAGCTGTCGCCCATGCAGGTGCCACCATTTCTACACGGTGTAGCAATGCACCAATCAAGTAGTGCAGCACGCTCACATTGCACACCTAGCAAACACCATGCACCAACTGAGCTACTTCATCATGCACAAACGCAGGCCACAGTGCAGTAACAAACATCACTATGACATTCATTTACATTATAACAATGCTGTAGCCAAGAGGCTAGCACTCCTCTGATTATTCAGAAAGACTTAGGTTCAGTTCCTGACCCAGACACCAGCTATCCTGATTGATGTTTTCTGTGGCTTTTCTCAATCACTCCTGTCAAATACTAGGATATTACTTTACATAAGCTATAATTTTCTCCTTCCACATCCTTATTCTGCTTTCTTCCAGTCATGAAGTTAGACCATCATTAACCATTTCACTGCTGTGTGTGTGATAACTTACTTAGAAGCATTAGTCATTCTGGTCTAGATTTATTTGGTGTTTGATATGATCAGTGAAATAAATGTGACCCACAGTCTGTAGTTAGAGCTAAGTGTTTTTTTTAAAAATAGGAATTATGTGTTATCATGAAAAGTTATTAACACATGAAAGTTCTTTAGACAACTGTAAAGAAAGGGTTCAATAAATTAAGAAACATATATAAATTTTGAGCTCACACTGCAGACAAAGTACCATATGTGAAGTTCATAAGGGAAGATAGAGAAAAATATTGTACGCATGTGACGCCAATCAGATACTGATATAATCATCCTTTCTTAAATGCTGAACAACTTGTAGCATTATCTCTTCATAAATAAATTGATATCAACAAATTGTGAATTTCCTTCAGCCATGATGTTGTGCAGACAGCTGTTTTACAATATTATAACAGTGACAGGATTAATACCAACGACATAGGGCAAAAAACACAATTACCTGTATTATGGGTCTTAACAAAGTAAATTTTATGGCAGCCAAGCCCTAATATGTTAGAACATCAAATAAATATCATGCATATGACATGTATCACACTGAATTAAGTGGGCTTTATAGCAGAACTGCTACATGTAGTAGTACCAACATGACACATTGTAGTAACAGACATGAAGTTTTCAACTTACAAAACCTCCCCTAGCCCTTTCCTGACAGAGCAAATTCCTGCCAACACATAAATGTAAATCAGGAAGAACAGAGTCAGAAGGCATACATATACAAACACACACAGTATGACATGTCTAAAACAGATCATTGATTAAATGGAAGTCCATCATTATCATAAAAATTTCTCAAGTCCTGAGAATAATGACTGAAAAGCAATGACAAATACCTTGAATAAACAAGAATTAATTAACAAAGACACAAAGAAAAAACCAATTAAATATAAAATAACTTAAATACTTATTATTTTATACCGTGCTTCCTGATATAAGGTAGAAACTGCTTTTTTTCTACCATATGTTATGCATGAAAAACATAAAACACTTTTATGTTGTTTACTGAGGACTTCCATGACCCTGATTTTGGTCACAACATAAGACTGGGAACCATTGATCTGACACTACATTACACAGAAACTTCTGAATTGGCAACAGATAGTGTTACTTAGAAAGGGGCTGGAATTATTACCGAAACATATTAAGTTACAGACCAGTAGGAAGAAGACTTATCAGCAAACCAAGGCAAAAATGGAGATTATGTTTGGAACAAGTTGATGGACCTAATCCCTGGACATGGATAATAATAAATGTATTATTAGAAATAAAGGAACAAAAATATACTCTGAAAGTGTGATAAAAATAAAAAATAACAGAAGGAAAATCAAAGCTGAGGACTCACTGACCCATAAAACTGGCAGAACACGTACAGTTGTAACGGTCACCCATGTCACTGCAGGTACCGCCATTGAGGCATGGCATACTATGACAAAGACTGACTCCAGTACAGTTGTAAGAAGTACCTGCAAACAGCAACGTGCACAACACAGCCACTGCAGTAACTCTGTGCTGCATCCACTCAGAATATTGATTTGATACCTCAACCAAAACTTGAAACAACAACAGTTAACTATTCATGTTGATGTGGTTCAATTGGGATTGCTTGATGAAATTATCCATTTTCTGAGCAAGAAGGAGATTGGATTGTTTCTTAGTTAATTTAATGATGCTATCTCTCTGAATAGATTATGCAAATGGAGTCAATAAATAAGTGGACAATAACAAAAACTTCAGAGTAATAAATAGAAATCTTACTTGCTGTTAAGGTACTAATCCTGCAGAAATGTTCTGGTCTGTATGGTATGTATGTGAGGTTCTGTCAGATGGCATAACAATCATTAGTACTCCCTCTAAAATATATAGGTTGTCTGCTTATTTATGAAACAACCCACAGTGTCAAAAGAGAAGATACATGAAGTGGAAAGAAGTGGCTTTGACCTGTTTTAAGGCACTACCCCAAAATTGGTCTAGAGGAACTGAGAAACACAAAAAACCTGTCATGAAAGCTGGCCTCAAGGCTGAGAATCAAACATGGGACCCCTGAATATAAACCAAGAGTATCTCACTTAACCATAGAATTTGGTTATGTGCTGGAGGATCAATTTTCTTTCAAGCTTACATTACTATCAGAATTCATACATTTCATAACAGCCACTGGAAATATACAATTTATACTTGGATTTTGAAGATACATATACAGAAAACAATTTAAACATCAAACTATCTAGCCAACATAATAATAAATTACAACACTAACTCACTCACTGAATCTACAGATTCAATATTACTAAAAAATTTTATATCCAGAGATGAGAAAATAATGGCCAATAAAAATTCACTCCTTCTAGCTGTGAATGTTAGATGCAATAGAACACTGTAATTAAAAAAAAAGTAATAACTAACTACAAAATGGCATTCATTTTTTCAGCTAATCAACAATTCCTCAACTTTTATGCAACTGAAAGGTTAACTACCATGTTCAAAAGGGCCCATAAAAGCCCCCATCTAAAAGCACATGACCCCAGATCACACATCACTTCATATTTCATAAAAATAATAATGCAAAACTAAAATTTAAATGATGACAGAAATGCATTTTATGGGACCAACAATATACATGGGTACTATTTTAATCTACTATACCTACCACTGGGGGTACACTCCAAATTTTATGACATCATGTAAAATTTGTTATTTACATTTTCTTTGGGTAATGTGTTTATCTATAAAGTACTCACATATTTGGTCCATACAAACAATTTATAACTAACAATTCTTGAAGCACAGAACTCAGTATATAAATTGCTTTTGTATGCCTAATTATTGAAATTCTTCAAAATTTTGAATTTTGATAATAAAATGTCACAACTGAATGCAGCTTTGAAACACTGGTCTAGCCATTAACAGTAACATACCTGGAAAACCTGCTTTGCAGACACACTGATATGTTCCAATGCCATCAACACATTCTGAGTTTACAGGACAGATGGCGGATTCACATTCATCAATGTTGACCTCACAGTTATCACCAGTGAAGCCAGGTAAACATTCACACTTATAACTTCCAACCAAGTCTTTGCATTCTCCTCCATTATGACATGGATTGGAACTGCATTCCTTCAGATTCTGAAAAATGACACATGCCTCAACTTTCTGTTTATACAAAATAGCAATGACAATGGGGGCCCATTTCCAACAACGATACTAGGATCTTTCTCTTTTTCTACATCACTTAGATTGAATACTTCTGTCCTGTAATTCTTTTAATCAAGAATATATGGGAAGTGGTTTGGATCAACATGCAGATTAGTATAAAATAGTGGTTACAAAACTACAGACTATAAGCCCCTTGATGGTACACAAAATATTTCAGCATAATAATGGTGGGTATTATTGTGCCAATATTATGTTACAGAAAAAGAAATTCATAAATTATATTTGTGGTGCTATGAGCCGGGATAGCTCAGTCAGTATAGTGACTAGCTACAGGCTGGATGATCAGGGTTCGATCCCCGACGGGGGCAGAGGATTTTTCCTCTAGCCTCTGCATCCAGACTGGCTCCGGGGGCCACCGGCCCTCTCCCAGGGGTAAAGCATGGCCGGGGCGTGATGCTGACCACGCACCCCCAACTGGTGCCGAGGTCAAGAAAGAGTAGGAGCTATACCTAAGCTCCCCCAAGTTCCTTCATAGGCATGTAGCGGGATGCTTTACTTATTTGTGGTGCTACTCAATATGTTGCTTGCTACCCCTTCAATCCACGTCTGATACGTACAGCTATATTGCTTTATTTCATTTTCATAAAGAAAATAATCAAGTGGATTAATGCATTCTAATTTTTCAAGAAAGGTTTCTTGGGTTGATATGCCTCGGAATCATAAGAGTGACAGCACTCACCAGCTCGCAGTTCTGGCCACCGAAACCTTGCATGCATTGGCAAGTGTAGCTGCCGTAAGTATCAAAACAACTCCCCTGGTTCAGACATGGGTTGTTTTCACACTCATTAATATTCTGTTCGCAGTTCACTCCTATGTACCTAGAACCAACAGGAGCGTGACACAAATTTGGCCAAAGAAAAAATAAACATTTTCCTTCTCACAGTCAACTTACTCACTAACCAGCACAGGCCTCCATGTTTATGCAGCATATTTAAGTATGTCTCACTCATTCACTATTATGTTGCATGATGTTTCTTTCTAACAGGTTTCAACAAAAGATTTTTAGTTGAAATCCAAATTTCCTGCACCTACACTATAATACACAACACAATTATAAAATATGAAATTATAAGTAGACACAATATTTTCAGAAATAAACATAATCTGTTGACATATACTTCAAAATAATAGTTTCAAACATAAGTAAGAGATGTCAGGACCAACTGCTATAATTATTTCTTTGATTTGTAATATTGGAGAGGTGCAGGAAATTGCATGGTTATGACTGGAAGCCTGTCCTTGGCCAGTTAGTTAGTTAGTCAGTCAGTCAGTCTGTCTGATAGTATACATCTTGTAATAGAGGTCAAACACTCACCCTGTGCGGCCACAAAAGCAGGTGTAGTTATTAATGCCATCCAAACAGTTACCTCCATGTTGGCAAGGATTCGGCAGACATTCATTTATGTTAGTCTCACAGTCCTGCCCTGTGAATCCTGTGATGAGACAAGCATTACAACAGTGGATAAAACAAATGGATATATATGTGACCAGACTGAAATTATGGTATTATATAAAACAGATGAATATATTTGTTCTATTGCTTTCAAGTACATACTCACCTGGCAAACAAGTACACTCATAACTGGAGTCCAACACATGGCAGCTGCCATTGTTTTGGCATGGGTTGCTCTCACACAAATGGGAGCTTATCTCTGTCTCGCAGTGGGCACCTACAGACAACAACCATAACACCATACATACAGACAGTACTAACACTACAGTCACTGTGCACAAAATGCGGTTGCCTTCAGTATGTGCAGAATACTGTAACATTAACAGTGCATATAATGGGGTGTTTCCATTATGTACAGCATATATATATAACAGAGTACCTGTGAATCTTCCTTCGCAGAAACAATGATAATTCCCTGCTGCATCTTCTTCACATCGACCATTATTTTTACAAAGATTTCCACTGTTGCGTTTACAGGGAGAACCTGAGAATAAATGTAAATATCACCTTATTTCAGTAAGCGCTTGATAGATAGATAAGGAAATGAGGATACTAACATAGGTACGTAATTATAAAATGGTGTAACAAACCCACATTGTTATAACTGAAAATAAACCAAGCATTAAAAATACATGCAGCTTCAATAATGCCTTCACATTCCATGTGTTGAAACTTTTTCCAGATGCTGGAACAAGGACTAAAAATGCACATGAAACAATATAAGGCCAACACCAAGAAGTTCAGAAACAGGTCGCAGTCTGCTGTACAGACGGACAATTTAGATCCAGTCACAGCATTGTGGTGAGTTAAACTGACACACATTTTAGATCTCCTCTGACATCTAGATTTTTTGATAAAAACAAACAGCTTGAAAGCCAGGGTCTGCTTCTGTAATCAAGCAGGAGAGTAAAACCTACTCCAGTAGATGGAGATAATCCAGTATGGAAATAAAGATTAGCTAAATCTAATGGACTTAAAGTGTTTTACTCTCCTACCTGATGACAGAAGTACAGCCTGGCTTCTGAAACATAGTGATTTTGTTTAAAAAATGATGGAAGAAATGCAAAATATGTGTCAGTTAAATAACCTAACCTTGTCACAAACCTTTTGATTTATATTGTGGTTAAGTTTACAGATTATTCTGAAAAATGTTTGTGAGTACTAGAAGCAATCGTGAACTGACATCTGTATCAATCTGTAATGGTTTATGACATCCTTCAGTGTTCAAATCTTATCCAAATCTGTCAAGTAATTTGTTAGAAGAGACAAGCAGATGGAGAAATGGACAAATGCCTTGATTTTCCCATTATCCATTCAAATCACCAAGTGCAAAAAACACAAATATACATCAGAGTTTTGCGGTGCATTAAACATACGCCCATACAATGTTATATATTTATACAGCTATAGTATGTGTTAACCCTTCTCATTGTTGAAAGTGAGTTGTTAGTGTACCTGGGCATGAAAGCATGTAAGGAAACAGCTGTAAATCTCCACACATTCTGTCCTGCAATGACTAATTTACTACAGGCACATGTTCACAGGGGTAGCATCTAGCAGACCTTAACCAATTACATGACACAGATATTATTTCTAGGAAGTATTTGAAAGGTGATTATGAGGAGAATAAATTAAAGAAAAGAGAACAAAAGGAATATTATAGAAAAAGCAATATAAAGTAAAGAATGCATTTGACATGGTTACAACACACTAACAGAGAACAGTAATGCACCAATTAATGATATATAGAGAAAAAGACAACGGTTGTAAAGATCTACGAGATAATGAAAAATGAGAGAATGTCAGGAGACAGATAGAAAAGAAAATGACTTTCATATATCCACAATAAGAACCAGCAATAACATGCATTTTTATGCTTCAAAACAACTTTGGTTAAAGCTAAATCTACACAGAGTTATAATGTTTGTCATGCAATATCCAGCACTAATTATTGTGCCTGCTCCTTTCATCTGCACAAGTTTAATAAAGTCTATCATGTGGGAAGATGGTATTACAGCTATGCTTCACCTTACAATAGTAAAAGAAAAAGTAAAAGACAAAAATTGTAAGTTATCTAATACAAACTTCTAATATAGAAAATTTTAAATTCTGAAGAAATTAAAATAAAAATCACTGGCTGGTCATATGATTTGTGAGACACATAATTAAACATTCAACTTAATTTGTACTAAAATCTAATTCCTTGTATACCTGGTGGGCAATTTATTGGATAAGAATTCTTAATATGGCTGGTAACAGTTATATTTGATATGGTTTTATTGATAGTTACTTGTCCTAAAGTTCCTTTGAAAATACACCAAAATGATTTGTTTTACTACACATTCACAAAAGGTTAAACACAGTCTGTGAAGATGGTACAATGATTTCAGGCAGCACTGGTTGCTGTTTAAAAAACAGAACAAACATTTCTGTTTCTCAGTGGCATAAAGACATTGAGAGAGATGTAAAAGTTACACAGATGAAAATAAATTATTCTATGGGCAAATTAAACAATCTTCACTTACATGTGCTTGATTTCAGTATATGACACACTGATTTCTTTGATTATTCAGTGCAAGAAGTTACAGACTGCATTTTTTTAAAAAAAATTCTGTCATAAAATAAAGAAAAGTTTGATATTAATATCAGCCTACTTGCTATAGGCATTGTAAGTACAAATAAAATGCAGGATTCTTACTGCTGTTGCAAATTTCTTACCAACTTAGAACTGCGTGATGAACGTAGTGATCATACATTGTGGACTGAATTTGTTAACTGAAATTGTAAAAATGTGAAACAATCTTAACCCTCAGGATCTAACAAATTGCAAGTCAAATTATTAACTTCAGTTTGTTCAATTCATGTTTGGCATTTTGACAGTCAGACAACAATTCCTATCCAATGCAAATGAAACAAACATAAACCCAACTGAACACATTCAGGTTTCAGTCTCACCATTGTTAATCTCGCAGTTGTTGCCAGAGTAGCCAGCAGCACACTTACACTCGTACCGGTCAGGTAGGGAGATGCATTCACCATGCAGCAGGCACGGTTTATTGTAGCAGTGATCCGTTTTCGTGCCTGTTGACAGCACAACACTCAAAACACCTTGATACAACTCCTGTCTGATCAAAGGACTCAGACAAACTCACTGTCACTGGCTCAAAATATGACAAAACATGCTGTCCACATTCACAACTAGTTGTCAAGCAAAGAAGAAGAAATGGTATAACTCTTACACTGCTTACCTAAAATAACAAGAGCAAGAGAGAGAGAAAGTTTTCAGACAACAGACAGAATAAACAGAGAATAAAATAAAGGGAAAAAAACAATGATCAAAAGAAATAAATACAAAAAAATAAATAAATTAAGAAAGCAGGGAAAAGGTTTGAATTCCGCTGAGCACTTTATAAATAAAACAATCTGTACGCTCACAGTGACAGGCATTGTATCCAGGTTGACATGCTACAGTGTGCAGTGTGAGACAGCTACAGCTACATCTGAACACCAAGCCTTGACATAACAACAAATTAAACAAGCTTGTGAGTTGGTGTTGCTTGGAACATTCATACAACACAGCGACAAAGTGCTTTTTTGCATCAAAGAATGAGAACTGATAGGATGATTGTGAATGATGAATCAAGAATAATCTGGATGGAAGTAGTCATGACCTATTTTAATGTACCATTCTGTCATTTGTTTAGACAGACTTAAGAAAATAAAATAGGCAAATCTAGCTTATATCTGGCTAGGTCCCCCAAAAGGATTCAAAACCAGGTATCTCCTGAGTGTGAAGGGGTGTTAACCATTACACTGTAAGTGACAGAAGATTCTTCTGTCACTTAAGGAAAGTGATTTGGGTGGCAGTTTTAGTGGTAGTGATAATGAATCTGAACATACAGCACTATTCTTCTGGACAGCAAATATGATTTGACATGGGGGAAAAAACTGCAAATAAGTGAACTTAAAGAGTTAAATAGAACAACCTTCCAAGTCTGGGTAGTCTGCACTTTAAAAAAAGACCCAAGGGTAGGATTTCAGGTTCTCAGGGTGGTGAGTATGCAGATGACTATTTTCTAGGTTGTAGTGCCATCTAGCCTTATAGAAGTTTAATGACATTTTAGAGGTGCTTGCTGCCTCTATCATGACAATGACTCATTGCTACAACTCAGAAGGCAGCCATTCTCAAGGACCCAGGGGTTAACTGATGTTTCTCAAAACATTCCTTGGTGTGTTGCTGATGACAGAAACTGCAAACATAACAGATAAGTCAAGTGCCTTCATCAGACTGCTCTGCAGCATGATCAACCATGTTACTTACAGCTGTTGATGGTAAGTGGACAGGGTCCCCATTCCACGTTGTGAGCCTGCACCAAAGATGGTTTGTTAAATACAATGCTTGGACCCTCCAACAGACATCCATGGAAGTCTCTTCCAACAATGAGAACTGAGTTTTCATTTGACAGGTCTGGATGGTTTAGAATCTCAGAATTGTAGGTTGAGTTGGCAACGACCTACACAGATATTTTAACACATTTCACTGGCAAACCCCTGCTGGACACATTCATAATATGAATGAATACTCTTTTCTTCAGTTAACCCCTACAAATCAGACTCAATCCAGTCTATGTGAAAATCTGATTTCAGTCTAACAATTTAAACAAAGAGTTGATACTAGAGCACATGGTCTTATTGTACTGTATTGTATTTAAAAGGCAGTTAAAACTGATGTATGTTGCCTGGAACTGTTGCTTTTTACAGACATAAGTTACTGCTTTGCACTATTAAACAAATTCAATTCTAAGAATGTTATTATAGCAACTAATGCAAAGCCACTGAATTTAAAGGGGAATGGTTTAAGTATGATTTCAGGTTTTCATTGCGATGAGTCTGAAGATGGCTGTTTTCTGGGTTGTAATGCCATGTAGTCTGGTAGAAGTTTACCGACGTTTCAGAGGTCCTTGCTGCCTCCATCATAAGGGCAATGAGGACCAATGAAACATTGGTATATTTCTACCAGATTACAGGGTGTAACAACCCAGAAGACAATCATTTTCGTAAATTTAACATCCTTTCAGTAGTCTTATCAAAATTTCTTTCTTTCCTTTAGTCCTTGCATACCATCATATGCTATTCTCCAAAACATGCTACTGCAGGGGAATAAGAAAGGTCATGTTGCACATTACATTATTTCAACACTTTCCACAAAGTCTGTTCCGATCAAACACGGGTACAAGTAACTATAAAAGTATGAAACTGTGTTTTGTATAATATAGGTTATCAGAAAAGTATCTAAAGTAAAGACATAATTGTTTATGTCTGAGGTTAAAAATTACAAGATGTGTGGCAAACTACAGATGATTAGATTTGTAAAAATGTGTGAAAGAAATCTTCATTTCTGAGGGTCAGTAGATAAAAATCAAGGAAGCATTTCATGAAGGCATACCCTGTCAATTTAGCTTTAAAATTTTGAAGTTAAATTCAGAAAATCCTGACATTTAAATACATTAAATTATGTTTCACCCTAAAACTTATTTCATTCATGATGTCTTGGGAGTGGATAATGAACATGGACAAGGCAATGGATATGACAAGTGGAAAGACAAGTTGACAATGAGACAAAAGGAGTAATAAATTCCGAAATTCTGAATGGTACTTATTACAACTAACCACAAATCACGATATTAATGACAGTGAAACACTGAGTAAGTTTTTGCATCTTTTGAAACTTCACAGATTTCATGACTGCCTGTCGTTCTGTTGTAAGAAACAAGAGACACCATGCAAACTGCTCTTATAAGAATTTCCATCACTGGTATCCAATAAAAGTTCATCATTTTGTCCCTATCAAGCTAACATGTAATTTATGTCATTACTTATTTACCATAAACACAGTTTAGAAAAACATTATATAACAAAAAGACAACAAATTCAGAACTCAAAATACTTTTTCAGCATAAAACATCCCCAAGATGTAATGATTACCATGAACAGTCTTCAAAATGGATACATACTTGGTCACTCTAGGGGAGGCACGCTGGGTAACATGGTATTTATCTTTTAACTGACCTGAGAGTGTCCTGCAACAGACAGTGTCAGATTCCCAAGCCGGTACAATAAGTTCACAGTATGCCAGCTGTTATCAAGGAACCGGACATTGAGTTGAGTGTCAAAGTTCTGTCCCTGGACTGACACCGAGAACAGAAGCCTGTCTGTTTGGACCTCCAGAGAGATTGAGTTACGACCGTTTGTCTGAGAGAACAGCTCGCCTCCGACACACGTCCGAAAACTGAGTCCTGTGTGTCCATGAAGAGAGATTGGGGAGAACAATCGGACATACGATGAACCATTGAAGAAACCTTCACTTTGCTGGGCACTGACTGTGCTCCGAGTGTGAACTAAGGCAAGAGAGATAAGGCATGCTAAAGCTGCAACAAAGCAAACACAGTACCAAATGTTTAGAAACTACATATCATACTTGTGTAAATAAGTTTTTCTGTTCACCTACCACATGCATTCTTTACACATAGCCTTCACATATTTCACATAATATCATTAGCAGCATGCACTGAAAAGATACATAAACTAGATAGCAGAATAAGGCACAATATAACAATCATTTATTTCTCTTTTGCTGGCATAATGTTTGACATAGTCAGTGTACATCATTTCCCTATAGATATCAGTAGATGTAGTTTCTCCTAGTATATGGTGTTGGCCAGATAGTCTTCCAAAAAATCTGAATTCCAGGTTCAGTTACTTTAATGTAAATACTGTCATGTCTGGGTTGCATATATCAGGAATAATTAAAACATATACTGTGTTTAAAGTTTAGCAGAAGATGTCAGTGGGTACATATTGAAGAGTTAACAATTCACATCTTTACTGAGGCCAGAAAAACAAGAAGAAGTAATGAAATGGACAAAAAGTGAAACTGTTATTCTCTTCACTCAATAATATAGCTGACCTTCACTTGAAAATGGATAGTGGTTGAATTTCTCCACACATCTGGGTTAATAATAATCTCTCAATAAGCTTCTAATGTACTAATATTTAAAAAAGAAAAGTACATACTTCAAGACAGAAAAATGTCAAAGTTCCAACAGTTCTGTAGACAATTCAACACTGTCATTAAATTGCATTAAATAAGGAATCCTACAAAACCTGAGATAGTTTCATCATTCTTCACATTTAAAATGGAGCACAGTTTATATTTAAATGTTGAACTTCAAATTATAATAAATAAATTAATAAAATGAGAGCTGAGATGGCAATGTTGCAAAAAATAAACTCAAAACAATAAAAATGTATACCTCTAAACGTCTGTTGAAAACGCATTGTTTGTTAGCTTTTATACTACAGTTTTTATTTTAAGTCACTGTTAATTTTATTAAAGCTATGTTATTAACACCATAGTAGTCAATTTTCAAGTTGTTTTATAAATATTGTACAGAGGGATATCAGCTGCGCAGGAGCAAGGTTGGGTATGGCTGGGTTTGGTTAGGTTTAATTGCGTTAAGTTAGGTTAGTGCGCAGAAAACCACAAGTAATGGAGTCATCACTCGACTTCAAACAACAGTCACATATTGCCAGCTGCAGGAAGGCATGCCGCATGAGTTTGGTGTTGCCACCTACGGCATATAGTTCATACCAAATTTAATTAATAAACACAATCTTTTACTGCAGTCTTCATATCTGTTAACATATTATACATATATAACTTTCCTCCTCTGCTGTCAGCACAGATTTGTGCAGATAAACTGTCTGTATTTAATTTTATTCTGTACTAATCATAATCAATTACGTATCTAACTCCGAAATCGGTCTATTTTATAGGAAAGGGAAGGAGTATACTACATGTAAGGAACACACCTTCAATATGGTGGAAATGCTTCATTTGTATTAAAATTATTTCCCAGTTCAGATGAAAAAACCACTGGCTACTGGACATGGAGGAAACGATGAGTCCGACTCAGATTAATGTATCACTTTCACCCATTGTTCATCCCATATTTAACGATGGCAGACAGAATCAAAAGAGAGAAACGACTGGAATGTTGGGCACGCATTTCAAAAGCAACAATAACAGTCTGGCACTTTTTAACATTCAAATCATGAAGCGTATTACGGCAGATACGATTTCAAATCACGACAATGTCACATGCATATACCGAAACCTGTTTTGTCTCACGCAATATGAAAGAGATGGTTTCCTCTTCACGTGAACGGAACACATTTCAAACGTTTCTTTTTCCACAATGGAATGAGTTGTTTCACCTTGACGAGATTAAAAACTGCCTATATAAACTAATAAGGTTTGCTCTCCTCCCTCATTTGGGTAAGTTGCCTGATGGAATAATCTCCCGTCAACAGCAACAGACCCTAGTTTAAATAGTCGTGGCTCCCGCCACGACAAAACCCCCGTTAGCGTAAGCAAATTCCCGTTTTAGTTTTATGGCTCTGTTTACCATTTCCAGCAATGCGTTTCGTACGGAGGAATGGTGGTTAGATTCTTGGTTGGTTGGTCTCCCCCCGGAGTTATAGGCGTAAGCAAATCAAGCTATATATTTATTGCACAAGTCTGCATA